CACACACACACACACACACACACACACATATATATATATATAAACAATAATAAAATAAAAGATGACGAGAGTAACATCTTCACGGTCCTTCTAAACAGCAGCAAGGTGGGGGCCATCCAGATCTAGAGGGGGTGGGGATCTCATTCCAGAGGGCAGATGCTGCTGCGATGTGTCGATGCCTACAAAGATCAGAATCACACAGGCAATGGTTTCCCTGTGACATCCTGTAGAAACAAAGTTGGATTTTGAGGAAGCAGGAGAGGAAGACCATTGACGCCTTTGAACTTTGGTGTTGGAGAAGATTCCTGAGAATACCATGGACAGCAACAAATGGATTGCCCAATAAATCAACCCATACTTTTCACTTGAGACGCAAATGACCAGGCTCAAATGATCATACAAGTAGTCCCTTGTTTAACGATCCTAATTGGGACCAGAATTTCCGTCACTAAGCGATGAAGTTGCTAGGCAAAACATCACGTGACTGCACTGATTAGCAACAGCAGTTCTGGTAGTCCCAGTTGCAGTCGTTAGGCCAGGACGTCATCCTTCTGCCCTGCCATACTCACCTCCACTTCAACTCCCCCACCTATCTCCCCCCACCACATCTCGGCCCTTTTGGCTGCCCTGCACTCCACTGTTGCTGCCCACTCCTGCCGGCCGCAGCCGACCTTCGCTGTCTTCTTTGCAAAGGGTCAGCAGCGGCCTTGGCTGTGCGCACCTTGTCAGCAGCGGGAGGAAGAAGTTGGTGAAGGTCAGCTGGGGGTGGTGGGGTTGGGCGGTGGTGGCGGTGAATTTTAAAAGCGTCTGCCTCTATAGGTAGGCTGTGTTTAAAAGATGTTATGGAGGAGGAACAAGTTCTACCTGACGAGATTGAGACTGACCTGAAAGTGGATTTAAAAATGACAGGCTACAAGAGTGACATGGAAAAAGATGCTACACTGGACATATAAAAGAAACCGGCTGATGTCTTAATAATTAAAAGGGATATACAAATAACAAACCGAGAGAATGACCTGGATATTTTCCTATATTGGATTTACAAAAGCGGCTTGTTAAAGCTTGTGAATTTTGTGAGAAGGGACTAAGAAAAAATGAAAAGAAATCAAGTTCTAGGACATTATTTGAACGGTCAAGATGGTTAGAAATTGAAGGAATATAAAGTTGGTTTATTTGATTGACATGGAAAAAGATGCTACACTGGACAAACTTAAAAGGGATATACAAATAACAAACCGAGAGAATGACCTGGATATTTTCCTATATTGGATTTACAAAAGCGGCTTGTTAAAGCTTGTGAATTTTGTGAGAAGGGACTAAGAAAAAATGAAAAGAAATCAAGTTCTAGGACATTATTTGAACGGTCAAGATGGTTAGAAATTGAAGGAATATAAAGTTGGTTTATTTGATCAAGGTTAAAATACGTTGTTATCTCTGGTAACCCTTAATGGATTTGCTGACAGCAGGATTGAAATGATGGGGTTTTATTGATTTGTTTATAGATAAGAGATGGGATATGGGAAGGGGAGATAATTTGTTGTATTTTAAGAGGTGATAAAAGTTATTAAAATTGTTTATACTTGTTGTAATGAAGGGGGGGTCATTTCTTTATAAATTTCTTTTCTTTCTCTTTACTATATTATTTTTTCTTTTTTTCTTTTTTTCTTTTCTGCACTTTCTATTTTTTAATTCTTGTATTCTTGTTTTTATTTTTTTTAATTGTAATTTTGAATAAAATTATATATAAAAAAGAAGGTGATGGGCTTAGAGGCTAAATCCTATGAACAACAGTTAAAGGAACTGGCTATGTTTAGTCTAAAGAAGAGATGGTGAAGGAATGACACAATAATAATCTTCCAAAACTTGAAGGACTGTCACAGGGAAGAGGGTGTGGATTTATCCTCTGTAGTGCCAAAAATTGGACAAGAACCAATGGGTGCAAGCTTTGCAGAGAGATCTGAACTCAAAATTAGGAGGAATTTCTCGACCGCAAGAGCTATTGTTGGCCACAAATCGTGGTTTTCAGCCCAGTCCTTTAACTCATTGGGACTCAAGAAACTCAGTTACTCATTTATTAAGGCACCTTAGTAAGTGAGGACTCCTTCCCAAGAAGAGAGCCCCGAAAATAGAAAGCATAAATCTTTTATACCTTT